TTGATGAACACAACAACCTGCCATATCGTGTCTGCGATGATCCGTCCGAAAAACAGCGATATTCGAAAAGAGAGTTAGCCGGAACTTGAGGGTTATGTTCAGATGGTCCTGGGGTTGACATTGCCAGCGGGGGTGGGACAGGTTCCCGACCAAGTCAGGTCCTGGGGCGGCGAGAGGTTTCGCCCGTACCACAAACAATATCGTAGCCACTCGTTTTGTTGTTCTTGATGCTGCTTTCAAATTTGCCGCGGCTTCCTAAGAGACACCAGGACTGGAATGTCCCCATCAAGATCGTGAGCAAACAACGGAATCGTGGGTTCCAGTGCTTCAGCCTCCTCGTCCATCGCACGTGGGTTTGGAGTTGAGCAACCAAACGTTTGTCTGCTAACACGTTTGTTAGAGGGATCAGCCCCCTCGCGACAACGACGTTTGGGGGTTGGAGTTTGGATTGGGGTTTCCCGAGATCGACTTGCTGCGTTTCGGAAATATATCCAAAGGCGAGATGTTCGTCGAAGCATGTCCAGTGGTCCCTGCCACAAACTGCCGCTTCTCACGTCAGGTACAGCCACTTCGTGGTGCCCGCCTCATCATGCTTCCCCCGCCACTAGCTATTTCAGCAACGTCCAGCACTGATCGTGGAAGATATCTGTATCTGTGCCAAACCCAACCTATAATACGTCTTCCTTGTTCTTGTTCTCGCCTTTCCAACTCGTAAAGGAAAGGTTACAACATGAGTGAACACCAGCACACACGTGTGGGGTAGCCACAGATATGCTCAGAATTGCCGCCCGAAGCAGACTGTGGGCGGTGCAACCCGTGTTTTCGTGCTTGAAAAAAATCTTCCAAACCCGTGTCGTTCCTGAGAAACCCAACGGAATGTATTTAAAGTTCTGAGTCTTCGGAAAGCTAAGCTTGATTCTTCTGTGGGGCTGAACCTATGCTTCCACTCCTCACACACGCTCGCCAGGTGTACATGACGAGTGCAGCTCTAGGTTTCCTCTTGGCTTTTGTTTTTGCAGCTTCACACAAGAACGAAAGCTGAAAACTCTTTCAGAAAACATGAGACCACCAAAAGGAAAAAAAAAAACGAACGCAAAAGGATCTGTTCGCACGTATCGTTTGTATCAGATACGGCGAATCTTGGATGATGACGAATCGTTGCCTAGACGATGAGTCCCATCGTGTTTCTTGGCCACGGTACCTCGACTCTCTCGCGATGGAGCCTCGCAGGGAAATGGGCTTGAGACGAGGTTGCCGCCTTTGTTGTTTCATGCAATGCAGCCATTGGGGCACCAAATGAAGCTCAATACGCACGCATGCATCCCACTTACAAAGCAAGACTGCCAGCAGGATGCTCGACCAGACACAGATAGCCCGTTTTCGGTGTTCCGGAACCACGCTTGACGGTTTCCTGGGGATAGAAGCACACCGTGTTTCGAGCACACAAATGAGCAGATAAAGGATAACCGCTAATGATAGCCTTGCTTCTCTTTCGGAGTTGGGCAATTAATGTGATGCATGTAATGGATGGTGCGTATCGTGAGTACAGTGTTCCGCGCCCTCCGGGGGTAGTGAAAAACATTTCCAAGAAAAATCCTGTAGCCGCCTCAAACAAATCGTCCAATTGGACAACGACCTCGCGCTCACTGCTTTAAGTCCCTGTTTCGCAAGACGCTGAGGAAGTTCTGGCACAACACGCACCATGCAATACGTTCCCACAAGCAATTGTTCACCCCAAAGCTTTGGTAAATAGTTTATCAGCCTGTTGTTTTGCTGACCAAATACTCCCTCATCCCTCCGGCCGCCCCACTTGTTGATTAACCCCGTAAACCTACTGGTAGCAGGATGTGGGTTCGATTCTCTCTGTGGGGGGTTCTCTTTGCTAAAACAATTTATGGACGGTGGAGAGCGAATGAATTCATAAGTAAATGCTTCGGAATAACGGTCGACCAGAAAAAAATGAACGGCTGGACTATCCTCGCGACAACATACATGACAAGTATATCAGGGGGAAATATGGGGCGATCAAAATACCTACGCTCCTGTATGACCTTGTGACCTTCCTCCGGCTGTATCACCCCGCCTCATACGTCCAACAATACACCCGGATGATATTTTGATTTGGGCCGGGCGAAATTAGACCAACACACATATATTCATTCCTCACCACATGGTCGACCCTTGCTGGTGTTCGGCGAGCACACAACGTTTCAAGCTACGTGGACCGTCTGGACGTCCGAGGTCTTACAAGACCAAGAAGACACGTTGCTAACGCAGCTCCTCCAGTCAGTGTGCACGCAATGATGTGGTGGCGGTTGGAACGAAAGGGTCCTAACAGGGCAGCAGTGGGAGAGGTTCGAGGGTTGCAGACATGTGCAGAGGAAATTGCTGATTTTCTTTAAGAATACACCGGGCCGGCAATGCACAAGGTGACATGAAGAACTGCGCCTCAGAACTGACTATAAGCATCCTGTCTACATTGTATTGAAGAAACAGGTTAGTTAATGTTTTCATAGAACTCATGGAAAATACACTATGGAGATTGAATTCTTACGAAGCACCCGCCAACAACAGTAGAATTCGCACTGCAAGAAAGAACTGTTGACTTCGATGAAAGATGTCGGTGTGAAAGAACAGGGAAATTCACACTCAAAATGTACCAACACCATTGCCATCCAGCAGCATCACTTTGTCTGACAAATACCCTTCAAGCGGTTGGGAGATAATATATAAAACAGAGGATTATCGTGCCTACGGCCTGTTGAAGGTCGTTGCTATTGTTGGGGGGGCGCTGTGGCCATTCACGCTCCGAATGAATATCAAAATCAGGTGTAGACGGGGATATTGACCCTCCACTGAACAAAGACTCAACTTTGAGAGGGGCCGAAACATACCAAGGGCGGGTTGGCACTGAATATACCACATGCGCCGCAGTCCGGCGCAGGAACAGTTTATTTTTTCTGTTCTGTGTGTGCGTGCCTTTTTCGAATAATCTCTTTGTTTGCTGTTCTGCGAAACACACCCACTCGCCTTGGGGTGAAAGCGAGGCTGAGCAAACAGGATTGGAGTTACGTCCTCTTGCTGGCACGAGCAATCATACTTCTGATATTGCCCCCCGCTGGAAGGCAAGAGAGAATGCATCATGGGGGTATCTGCGGAGTTTTTCACTTTCCAATGAATCTCCCCCAGGAGCCCGTGGTCGTCATGGTCGATGGGTTCCGCGGAAGTATGACCTCCTTCAGCAACGCGGATGGCTTTGCGTCCGGGACGGCGATCAACGCCCATCTTAGCTGGAAGTATATCGAAAAGTACCTTGGCATTAGCAGAAACACAGTGTGACATGTGCGCAGGCTACGCGGTGCATGTCAGCGCTGTCCTTCGCCAATAATTTCTGGGAGTGAGCACGAGTTACGTGACACCTGACACAGATGAGCCCCAAAATTCAATCTGGGTCAACAATGAGGTGCTGTGCCAACTCCAAGCTGCATGGTAAGCCTGCATGCGAGTCTCACCTCAGATCTGGTATTCGATGAAGAAATATGCGTGGGGTATACACACGTGAGTTGGACAGGCCGCGACGTTTGGCTTCGAAGAGCGGCGCATGTCGTGCCAACGATGCGGCCTGATTCCGACCGCTTCACGTATTATTTTGTTCCGCTTCACTTGTTTTCTTTGGTCTTTCGGTCTTCCGTCCACGCCATCACGCACGCCGCACTTTGCTTTAACAACCGCAGAATATACCCACCGCACAACACCTGGTGCATATGTATAGCACTAGCACACTAGCTCTGGCATCACCCCACTCTTGATCCCCCCAAGTTTTTTGTGGTCGTCATACGCATAGCAGTATGGATCCTACTTACGCCTCCATGGAGTCGATACTAGTCAGTGACATGTATGTATGTGTCCATCTGTGGTAAACTATGTAGCATAGACTACACAGTGTAGAGTCATTGCAAAGGAATAATCAATGTTAGAAAACATTCATAGAATCAAAGAAAGATTATCCGTTCCAGATGATAACAGAGTCGAAGGGGGGGTATTGAAGTATTTGCAGTGAGTGGGAAGAAAACCACATAGTCTACTCTTCCTCGGACTGGATCATTTCGCCCTTCAAAAGCATCGGTGGAGGTCCTTGCCTGTGGATACTCTCCGCGCTCTCATAGCACCGGGAGGGGACATTCCCCAAAATGATCGCAGCAATAAAATGAGTGTGGAGGGGATGGGATGGTCTCAGAACTATCCTGTGTCTACAATCCCTACGCGCTCTCTCGAGGCTTCGACTCTATCGCATATATCAACCTTTTGCAGTATTTGCTACAAGTTTGAACGTTTCGATGGATCGGGCAACGACTGTACCGTCCGAAAGAAAATATGCAGCGTATATGTCTACACACTGCCTACGTAGAAGACCTGCATGCGTGTATTGCACGTCTGAGCGACCACCCTGCATAACCGGTTTCATGGGGACTCCGGCTCATCCCGTCGGTGCCAATACATTGAATGGCGAAAAGGTACCGCAGGTGGATGCAGATTGCACGAAAACGTGTCCGTCAAGCCAGAGATAGATATGGGAGTGCACCTCATGCAACGGTTTTGGACGTACAGGGTAAGCAGCAAAGTCAGCAGCAGCAGCAGCAGGAGCAGCAGCCGTTTGAGGTTGTTCTGCTCACGTCGTTGTCTGGCGCTGCGTGGTGTGGAGGAGGAGGAGATACTCTCGTATGTAGAGCGTGCTAGAACCGCACGAGTGGACTTCGAAGAGTGCAGGTTGCGGAGAATTCCCAAGGTCCTCGGTGGACGATGCGGCTATGACACAATCCCCGGCAAGGAAGCGAACGTGATTTTGGTGCGTTTCGATTCGCTACACAAAGATGGGACATTCACCTGAAATGACTGTTGAGTGAAACGCAACACACAGCAGTGAGAAAGAGACTTCGCAAGAGTTTAACGTTCATGTCCGAAAGACACCGCCGTGACGTCTTGCTGAAGGACGAGCTGATGAGCGCAATCCATCTTAACCAACGAAGCACACACAAAAGCGGGTTGTGGGCATCGGTATCCCCGTAGATCGCCTGGAAATACCGGCAAGGGACGGGCTGTGGCCAGCACGCCTTCCTTGAAAGATCAAGATCAGGTGCCAGATTACAAAAAGAAACGACAGATGACAAAAAAAACTGGTGCCCAGGGCAGGCGGCATCAACCACCGGGTCGTGTCGGAGGTAAAGTGACCCGAAACACTGCACTGTTCTTTTGCACGACTCTCAAGGATGTTTTATTGGTTGCACTCGAACCCTTTCTTCGCACAACTCGGCAGACCGTACGGCACACCATCCCGTTTCACTGACAAAAATCTCATGACAAACTGCCACGGACGGCACAGGGTAAACAAGCACCGGAACGGGGACATCATCTTCTACCCGCCGAACATCACAGACCTTTATGTTTCCCACCTGTAAAGGAAATATGGAAACATCTCCATCAGAGACCTTAAGAGTCTCCCACGTGTACAGGAAATATCTCCATGGAGCAACCAAAAAAAAACTCCGGCGCATACATCCTGAACGGAGAAAGTCACGCCAATGATTATCCCGGCCCATCCAAATTTTGTCCGGTTCCCGTTCCACGTCGTCCTGCATCCCGCACTGGATACGTCCCAAGCTTTCCGTCCGGTTGAAAAGGCATTCGAACGTCAGCGGCACGGGCAACATATTCTACTTCCACAATATCTCGGAAACCGGCTGATGATGCCGCATGGCCCACACAACACCGGGAACCCGTAGGTACCCCGGGTGGAGGGAGATGAACCAAAATATCACAAACGACCCCACGAAAAACAGCAGCACTGACCTACGGGTGCACACGTGCCCGCCAGAGTCACACGCATGCACGCGCGGCCACCAACCCTGCACGCGCGTTCGGGCTGATGCCAACCATCCCCGTTTCTGAACGGTTGCCGTCGAACGACGCTCGTGTTTGCTCGGGACTCGCCCCCCCGCCAACCAACCCTCGTGCGCTGGACAAGGAAAGCTCTATAAAAATGTGGCGCGGTAGGAGACGGATGCAGCAACGCCGGGGGGGCGAAATGGGTAGGAATACCGTTGTGCACCGTTGATTTGTCCAGGGAAAAGAATACTTCCGGGGTCGTCGAGCCGGATTTTTACCACGGCGTGCCGTGGACGGTCAGTCGGTCGGTTTATTCGTGGATGGCCTCGACCAGGATGTCCTTGAGCTCCTTGGCGTGCAGCTTCCGGATGGGGGTCGTAGCAAGGACAGGAGCAGCAGTAACGGCAGAGGCGAGAGAGGTGAATCATACACAAAGATCAACAAGTGCATTACGGCGAAGGGGTGAATCGGCCAAGCTCAAACCACCCCGCCCGCTTGCCCCCGCCCGTACGTCGGTTCCATAAACAAATCCGCTTTGTTTCTTGGACGGGTGGGGAATGAATAAGGGACGGGGTTGCACACGCCGGCAGGGGGTATCATCGCAACGATCGCTTTGGCATGTATGGTCTGGATGGCGCATCATGAGTAGCTCTCACTGTTGTAGGTCCATGCAGTGCACGGTTTTTTCGGAATGGGTGCTGCAAAACACGCCGCTCACAGGGAAAATAAAAACAAATGAGTCAGAGCAAACAATCGCGCCATTTTTTGTGTCAAATCAGACAGTGGTGCGGAACCCGCCAATGGCACGAACGAGACTTGGGGTCAGGACGGCCAAACTCCGCCTACCCCTTCATGGTGTGGCTTCAAGCCCCTGCAGCAAATCTGTGACCGGCGAAGAGAGAGTGTTTCGCAAAACACCTCGGAAAAAAACGGGTGTTATATGGTAGATGCTAGTTTGGTACAAACCGACACCAAAGGTCAGCTCTACCGATGCTACAATGAGCGGGATGGAGATTCCACATGCGTGAAGAGAAAGTGTGGGGGTGTACTCATGTAACCACATGCCGCAGTCATTCGACCATATACCTCGCATCCCGGGACGGAGCAACACAACATGCCGGGTTTTCACCGGCCCAGGCTATTGTACGTTTCACGAGGATGAACCAGAAGCTGGCCATCACAAGCCCTAACCCCAACCCTATGCACCAGGTGTTGGTCATCATCTTATCCTTGCGTTTTCTGTGCCAGACTTAGGACGCGGAACCAACGGACCAAGTACCTTGCTGTGGCCCGTTGCCGGAGCAGCAGCGGTGGGCCTGCCGATGTAGCGCGGCTTCCTCTCCATGTTGTTGAGCTTGCGGGTCGAGGTCTTGATGCACGGCCGAACGAAGCTCCAAGCGCCCATGTTCTTCGGCTCCTCCTGGGCCCAGCACACCTGGTGAACAGCCCGGTCGGAGTAAAAAAATAAAGACAGCGTATGCGATCATAGCCCTTACCATGCACGTGGAATAGTTGCGTGTGTGTCAATTGTTCTTCATGCGCAGACTATTGGCGGCTGTTTGAAGTGGGTTCCAAGGGTGGGAACGAGATAATAGGGAACGGGGGTCGTCGTCACCCTTGACCCTACCTAGAAAACACGCAAACGAAATCCCGAGAATCAATTTGCTGAAAAAAACTCGTCTCTACAACAGACCCTGTGCTTCCTGCTCCCTCCCCCCTGCCGCGACAAGCGAGTCTACAGGAAGAAAAAAAAACACACAAAAAAAAAAAAGAGAAACCGAACAACCCACCTCCGCGTTGGAGTAGCGCTTGATCTGCTTGGCGACCTTGTCGAAGGGGAAAGGTGTCACCTGCTCCACCCGGGCGATGGCGATGTCCGTGCGACCCGTCTGTTCCGTCCCATGGCACATATTCCCGTTCAGTTCCATGTCGTGCCGTTCCGTGGTATTTCGATTCGTTTCGGTTAGGTATTTTTCACCCGCAGCAACGACCGGCCAAAGGTGCACATCGATCCACCCAAAGCCCGAATAAAGCAAGGCCAAAGCAACAAGCAACGGTGGATGGCGAAGGTATTATTAGCGGTGGACGAGAGCCGGTTCAGCAGAGACGGAATACTCTTCGACGTATGTACCGACGCGAAAATCACTCAGACTCCTGCCAGCAACTACTACAAAAGACAGGACCCATCCACCAACAAGGGGCCAAGAAGGGACCGCATTCGAGCGGACTGCAATACAAAATTACGATAAAGAGAGGGGGGGTTCGCTATCCCCGAACTCCACCCAACGGTTTTTAATGTGAAGATAACAACAACAACAACAACAACAACAACAACAACAACAACCACCCCCTACTAAAACCAAGATAAATATCCTCGGGGAGGGTCCGCTCAGACGGGACAAGGGGCGCGCATGGAATAGCCCAGGTAGCGAAACAGAGCAAAATATTTCGGAAAAGGGAAAAAGTGGAGGTGTCGGCATCCCCGCCAGCCAGCCTGGTGGGCAAGCTAGCTGCGGCAGGCGTGTGCCTCCTAGCCACAGTAGGTTGTCGGAACCCGCACTGTGGGGGGAAGGTCCCTGAAAGGATTTTTATTAATTCGTTTGTGGTGCCATGGATTTGTGTACCGTGATTGATAGTACCTATCGGGGAACCGTGTCATTCGGGGCCGCGGTATGTAATCAAGACCACGTCCACCGTACTCGCCTTAGCCCTCTCCGCCACGAGGTCGTAGTAGAACTGACCGCTGCAAAGGATCAGTCGGG